ACTATCAAAGGACTTGGAAGGAAAAATCGACCCTCGCCAATATGCCCGCAAAGGGCACTCAACAACAGATGCCCTTCTCTACATGATGCAAACAATTCATGAGGCATTGGACGGGGGCGAAGCTGGTGCTCGTATCTTCTTCGCAGACTTCTCAAAAGGTTTTGACCTAATTGACCACTCTATTTCAATACAAGAACTGTATAAGCTCCAGGTTCACCCTGCCTTGCTGTCCTGGATCTCAGTCTTTTTATTCAATCGTAGGCAGGCGGTTAGAATTGGTAGTGTCCTTTCTCAATGGCAAACTCTGAAGGGAAGAATACCCCAAGGAACTAAACTCGGAGTGGTACTTTTATGGTCATGACAAATAGCTTACTGGCTAATTGGCATCTCCGTACAAAATTCGTGGATGATACTTCAGCCCTCGAGATTATTCCTAGGAACTCTATCAGCCTCCTTAATTTTGCAGTCTCTGATATACATGAATTTGCTAATGAACATAACATGAAGCTCAATCCTAAGAAGTGTAAGGAAATGCTTATAAACTTCTTACATAACCCCAATTTCTTACGAATCCAAATTGGTAACAATATTATTGAGCGTGTGACAACGTATAAATCTTTGGGTGTCATTTTGAGTAGCGACCTAAAATGGAATCCCCATATCGAATACATTGTTAAGAAGTTTAACAAAAAACTATACCCTTCAAGAGTCCTGCGAAGAGCTGGGGTTGACCAAAAGAATTTACTGAAAGTGTACCTGTGCACAGTAAGACCGGTACTTGAGTACGCCGTCCCTATTTGGCAAGACATTCCGGATTATCTATCGAAGGAAATTGAGTCGGTCCAAAAACGAGCACTAAAGATAATTTTCTCGGAGAGCGAGTCATATGCGGAGGCCCTGAATTTTGCACAACTACCAACTTTAACCACAAGAAGAGTGCAATTATGTCAGAAATACATGGTCAGAATGAGGCGAGAAAACCATCCCTTATTGCCAATCCCTGTTGTTCCTGACCATGACATTAATTTGAGACAGAACACTGATCGATTTTATCTATTTAATAATGTTACTGATTGCAGAACAATTAAAGCTCAATCCTTTTTTACATTTAAATACTCTTAATATGTTAAGATTTTTTTTAATATATATGAAAATTGTAAATAATTATGCATGCACTATTTACTATTTTGGTAAATGCCTAATGATTTTAACTCTTGTAAATAGCCTAGATTCTAAAGCATATCCATGTACTATTTTATAACATATTCTTATCTATTGTAAAGTACTCGTTAATTCAGTTGTTTCTGTAACTGCAAGAGAGTCCTAATAAACTATTATTATTATTATATTATTATACATCCCCGAGGGCGAAGCCCGAGGGAATTCCGCAAACCTGCCGAGGGTAAGGGGTCATTTGATCACCAATCTCCCTCAAGCCATGCTATTAGTTTGTATAATAGCATAATTGCGCTCCCATTGAAAAATGGACAAACATGCCCTACTTGCAATCAGCGAATTTAAGCTAAAACATTTGCTTCTTTGCTTGTGGGATGTAAAAGCTTGTTGCACATGCGCACTTTTTACGCTTTAATCGGTTACGCATGCGCAATCTATCATTTAGCCTACCGCAACAAAAACGCGAAATATATTAGTATAAAATCGGAGACTGCACGTGCGTAATTTAAATGATGCAACAACTCAGGGATCGGATGATAGACTATTGACACAGAGGAACAGGGTTGGTAACTTGCTGAATAAATAAGCCAAACATTGTTATAAGCGGCCCTTTCATGTCTTTGTTTCGAACAAAGGAAACAAAGGTTATGATAATAATATTTGGCTTATTTATTCAGCAAGTTACCAACCCTGCAGAGGAAGTATATATACTTGTGTGGTTAAAGTGCCGTTGTCTGTTTGATAACAAAAAAACAATAACAAAAACAGACAACGGCACTTTAACCACACAAGTTTATCGCAAGAAAACAAACACAGATCAAATTTTAAATTACAATAGCAATCACACAACACAACACAACACAACACAACACAACACAACACAACACAACACAACACAACATAACACAACATAACACAACACAACACAAAGTCAGTTGTATAAAGACTCTATTCAACAGAATTGACACACATTGTAACACTGATCAATCCAAACAAGACGAACGCAAGTATTTATCCTCTACTTTCTACAAAAATGACTACCCTTTAGACTTCATTAATAAGGTGCTACAACATAAACAACAAACTAACACGGACCGACTTAACCAAACAAAAACGAGAATTACACTTCCTTACATACACACTACATCAGAAATGGCAGCTAGACTCCTCCGACCATTCAACATTGACGTTCCACACAAACCAACATGCAAACTTAGGTCCAACTTCACTAAACACAAAGACAAGACACATATAACGGAGAAACATAACGCCATTTATATCTTCCCTTGCAGAAACTGTCCGGATAAGTACATTGGACAAACATCTAAAAGGATTCAGACAAGACTAACAGAACACCAGAACGCAATCAACAGACACGAACATAGCTCACTTCCAGCTAAACACACAGGCGACAACAGACTTGGTCTCAAACGAGATGCCTAGGACAAGCAACTACTAAACATGCCCGTGAGTTTAAAGAAGCGTGGCATAGTTTAGACAAACAAACATTTTTCCGTCACATTGACATCCCTACAATTTACTTACAACTGAAACGCTCGCACAAATCTCCTAATTCATCTTCATTACCTTTAACCCACCCTCAACTTCCTTCCCTACATCGTCTCATGATAACAATAATCACCCGCATTCCATAGTAACCAATGGCAACCGAAATCCATCAACCAATCAGACGTTCATCAACCAATCAGACGACTTCAACAGCGTCAACAACAGCGAAAAAAAAAAACAGTAAAAAACAGTAAACAGTATATTAAACAGTTACTTTATCGTAAACTGTTTACTTTAGTAATAATAAGCTATTTACTGTTTTTGATATTGTAAACTTTTACTGTTTTTTATATAGTAAACTGTTTACTTTATCATAATGATAAGAGAGGACATTTTAAGAAACTCGTTGACGACAAGTAATAACTGCATCTGATGGAAGATAAACGGTAATAAGAAGCCGCGAAAGATGGAATTTAATTTTTGTCGAGCATTTGCATGCCGTGAAAACGTTTCCGTGTGGACAGAGCGTCAAACTGACAAAATTGGAAACGACATTTTAGAAACGCTCGGAAACATTACCGTGGGTACGTAGTCTTAGTTTCTCTCGTATAAATAGCTCTAAAGCCTGGTTTCCATATAGTCGTAATGGTCGTAAAATACAGTCACGATCTTTCTCAACGGCCAGTTTATAATAGTTTATAGGCCTACCTGTAAACCACATATAAATTATAAGTATTCTTTATCTAGAATTACCCCCTATCTACAAATCGGGTGTCCTAACAGATCCTAATAACTATGGGCCAATTTCTATTCTATCCCCATTCAGTAAAACTCTTGAACGTATATATTGTCTACGATCAACTGTTGCATTTTCTTGAAAAAAAACAATATTCTCTTTGAACATCAGTTCGGCTTTCGGAAAGGATCTGAGATGAATCTGAGATGCTTACTACAACCTGCGGTGTCCCACAGGGTTAAAAGGGCCATTATTATTTTTGCTTTACATAAATGGCATATAAGTGCTCAAAAAACTCTCTTTCATCTTTGCTGATGATTCAAATGTTTTCTACTCCTCGAAAAAACATTTAGTTAGCGAACTGGAGACTGTTATGAACGAGGAGTTTAAATAATCGTTAAATTATTGTAGTATTAATAAACTATCAGTTAATTTCAAGAAAACTCATTTCATGATTATAACATCAAAACGGAAGAATATGCCTGTAATAAAAATTGCTAACGTTAAACAAAAATATTCCCCGAGCCAACGGCGCGCAGCGCCGTTCCGGGCGTAAGCCCGGGGAGAGGGTACTAATCCCCCCCGGCTAAACAGGTGGGAAAATTGACTGAGTATGCGCGAAAACTGGTCGGGTTTTCGCGGGAGAAGAAGATATGCGTGCTTCCACTTGGTTGATTTAAAAAACATAAACAACATGAACGAAGCCTACGAAGGACAATTTTGCAGCGGCTGTTTAGGCCCACAAATCAACACAAAAATTGGATTTAATGACAAAAAGTGTTGCAGTAAAACTTTTGTTTCATCTATTACCACATATTTTACAATGTAAAGTATTAATATCGATTATTTCAGTGCAAAACAAAACAGAAATAAAAATTTTATTTTAAAATGACGGCTGATAGCTTCAATAAAATGCGAAATTCAAACCAAAAATACTAAAACTTCTTCATTTTTTACAAAGCCAAAAAATTGAATATCGACTTTAAAATGCTTTGAAATTTAATGTAAAACAGCGATATTTCGTTGGCACAACTTGTAACATGACAAAATTTGTGTTTATAGAATTTGTGTTTATAAATTTTCGCTTTGGAATGAGGGTCATAGAAAAATCTTATTGCTATGTTTATCTCTTTTTTAAATACTTTGAAAACCTAAAAATAATATTTTAAAACTATTATAGCAAAATACATGGTAAAATGTTTATTTCTGATGCTGATTTTCTGAGTCGCCTTTTTGTATAAATCACACTTGCACGTACAATTTGCCGAAATTCAGTACTTTCTTCATTTTTTAGGCGAGTTTACATCCTATTAGGACTATTAGCAAAAACTAGAAAGAAAAGCACATGTTCTGATCTAATCACATTTCATTGGCACAACATGTATATATGAGAAAATTAAGGTGAAAAACAAGCAATTTTAGCAAAATACCTCACATACTGAAATTTGACGATGATCGTTGGCGCACAGTATCACTCAAAAACCAAATATTTATACTTTGTCCTGGACAACAAACGCATGTACTACAAATTTCAAGTAATATTCCATCAATATTATTAAGTTTCTGCTCGAGGTTATTTGCCATCAAAAACACACATTTTGCAAGAAACGTCATTTTCGGCCATGTTTCAGCGAAGAATTCTTGACTGTTAATTTCCCGATTGCGACAAGTAATTGCATTGTGGTCTTGATAAACGTTTATTAAAGTTTACGTCTGCTAGCTTTCTTTTACTTTTCCTCTGTTGCAGTACGAGAAACAGGGTAGCGAAATCTGTGTTTTTGTTGTTTTCACAATTTTTGCTGGCAAAAAGAAAGCGTCCGCGATAAATTTGGTCAGCGACGACAATTTTCCCACATGTTCCCCGGCTATTTATACCCGGGGAAACGAAGGCATTAGCGAAGACTAAAGTTCATCAATGATCCCGGGCGTCGGTCACCAACGGTGTTGAGTAGATGGTCATCCTCACTGATCTCAAAAATATGGCTGATTGCTTGTAGGAATGGGATGAGCAAGATTTCAATTTTAAAAGACATATATTTGGAAAATCGTTTCATATGCAACAAGCTTGAAGCAATTTTGTTTGAAGAAATGAGAAGAATTTATTTACTATGGGAAATCGTGAAATATACAGCAAGTTTGCTTTGAATATTTAATGTTTACGAATTTTGTTATGCCTAAAAACATGAACTGTTTTCCTTTTCAACGAAGCTCTAAATTTCATAAATTATCGTTTAATTTGAGAAAATATCTTAAAATGTAAAGGAGAACAAATTGATTTGAAGACTGAACTGAAATTACCTAACAATTTGTTTTATTTGTAACTTATTATGTTTTATTATTATATGGCTTTTCAAAATTCTCTATTCTGATTGGTTGACAAGCGGTCCGTAAAAACCCATATCTGGACCGTGGTCCGTATTTTCCGTATTTGGACCGGTGTCCTGGATGTCGTTTATCTGGCGGGAAATTTGCTTTGCAAACAGAAAAATTTTTTGCTTTTTAATTTTCCAATTGTGTGTCATTAAAATTTACAGATAAAAATTTCAAACAATTGTTTTTGATTGAGCATGCATGCCTACCGTATATTTTTACTCAGTGAAACTGACGATAGCCGATTTAATTCGCACGAAAAGCATATGCTCACAGGCTCAGTTTAGCCATATAATAAACCGATTATTGACCTCGCTTGTTCCGTCTGTACTGTGAAATATCAGACCTCTGTTTTTTTGCATGGACCTCGCTCCTTCGTCGCTCGGCCATACTAAAAAACCTCGGTCTGACATTTCACAGTACAGACCTCATGCTCGGTCAATAAGCCCGTTATTATTAGTTTATCGGCAAATGAATGAACATTTCAAAACATTTTACGAAGCGTTTCAAGTTAAATTTTACATTAAATCAATTATCAAAGCTTACAAAATGCAAAGTAATATACCTACAGTATATATTTCTGAAATTTATTGTTGTATAGTTAAAAGTACGAATCTTTCAACTATTTTGCAGTTTTGTACAAAAAAATGAAAAAATTAAGAGGATTTTTGTATATTCGTAACACGCGCTCAAAACTAATGCGTATAATATATCGCTTGAGTTATGACTACATTCAAAAATTTTATTTTTCGATACGTTTCTCAATCGGCAAACAAACTTAAAAAGTATGTTTAGGCAGCTTTATCTGTAAAATAATGCCAAAATGAAGAGATTTTAGATGATACGCCAAAGAGAAAATGATGTCTGAAGTTCAGTAAGTTTTGCTTATGTAGCTGTAAATATGGCGTCAATTTTAAAGCATCATTAATATTTGTATTTTAATTGACAATTTTTAACTATTATTTTATGTTTCTCAACCGGCAGATGCATTTAAAAAGGTAGCTAACTCTATAAACTAGAGACTGATAAGGGACCGGTCATTATTTATGGCGGGGGGTGGCACCAAAGAGAAAAGGGTTGGGTAAACTAAATTTTGAGTAAGTAAAAGGTTGGGTAAATGAAAAACAAAACAACTCAAGGGTTGCGTAATAAAAAATTATTGTCATTTGCAAAGCATGACTCACTGAAGTATTGGGGACTAAAAAGCAATGGAAACAGTAGGCAACAGTAGGCCCCACGAGTGGAAATTGGGAAAACGAGAAATTAATTGTGTGCAAAACACGACGCCCCGAAAAAATATAGCGCATAGAAATATATTTCCGACATTTCTGTGTTGACATTGAGTTATATCAACACGGCTCTTAGCCAATCAGCATTCAGAATTTACAAATGCTATATTATAAAATATGTTATCAAACTTATGTCACAGAAGTGGTAAAGGACATATGTGACAACTGAATAGTACCTTTTGTAAATTTTTTGGTCAGGGGTGGGTATTTATTTTTTAATTGATATTTGAGGTTGGGTAATTATTTTTTTTTACTTTTTAATGGTTGGGTCGGCAAAATTTTTGCCACGAAAAACATTTCTCTTCGGTGCCCCCCCCCCCCGCCTTAAATAATGACTGGTCCCTAAAGCTAAAACAAAGTAATTTTGAGAGGAACGCCAAAACGATTTTAGGTTTTGAACACTTTTCATTGCAAATACGTGACATTGAAAAAACTTGCATCTTAAAAATTTAAGAATATCGTGTTGTCATGGCAACACTTGAGCGCGAGCCTGCGTTCAGTGGGCATTTCTGAATACTTCATGTTAATTTAATGTTTGGAAAATATTGGCGAGGAGTTACTGCATGCATGTATTTCTAGGATATAAAGTGCTTATATTAAGGCCCTGTCACACTATTGCGTATCGTACTAGCGTATGCTAGCGTATGAAAAATATCACTCATACGCCTGTATACGCTGACATACGCTAGGGGTACGTTAGGCATAGGTTGCATACGTTTCAAGCACTGTCGCGTACAGTGACATACGCTGGCATACGGCGAGGCAGAAAATTTTTTTTAAGCATGTTCAAAAATTTTGTGCGTATCGGACGTATCCTTTATACGATAAGCATACTCTAGGCACACGTGTTATGTGTTGAATTGATTACCTTATATACCTTTATGGCTTTTCGCCTAGTGATTAACCTATATATATATATATATATATATATATATATATATATATATATATATATATATATATATATATATATATATATATATATATATGTCTTGTTTGTCGATGCTGACACGTATCTGAAGAGTGCTCAATGCAGGTAAGATTTTGCAGAGCAAAACTATTATTAGTGTAGACTAAGACATGATATCTGAAGATAATTTAATAAAACCTAAACCTATTTACGATAAAAGTTACTCGAGTTTCACGCACAAAGGCGATCATCAGACTAAAGTGCTTTACGGTGGATTGTAGTTATAAGCGTAGAATTTCCTTTCGTGACAACACTTAGCTATTAATTCTGATCTTTTATTCAGTAGTGATTGTTTATCTGCATTTAAAATGCAGATTTTCTCGGATAGGCACAAGTTACATATCTTTCCTCCACTCCTATAAGCATTTGCACGCTTAAGGATTTTCCACTCGATTGCGTAAGCTGTGTCGGATTCCTTTAATTCCCAGATGAACTTCGAGAGCGTTGTATTTCCAGCGTGCTCAACATTGTTGAAGGATGATTTGTGGTTTCGATACCGCGTTTTGAATTCGTTTTCTGTCATTCCTATGTATATTTTAGGTGGCTGGTTCGATGGGGTCACTGTAGCTTGGTATACAATGCTCTTTGTCTTGCATGCATTGTTTAATGGGCAGTTATTCTCGTCTTGGCAATTACACTGACTGTTAACGTCATTTGTCGGGCTGGGTTTAAGAATTTTAGCATTATGTTGCTTGATTATAAATTCTATGTCATCCATGCAGCTATAGCTTACTTTACAGCTATTTCTGTTAAAGACTGGCCGTAGCTGGTGGCCTATTGGGAAATGCTTGTCTATTAATTGCAGGAAATGCATGCCGACGTTCGCCGTTCGGACATTCATGCTGTACGGCGGGTTGAATCATAATATATTCCTTCTGCGGTTCCTGCGAGGGGGTGATGGTTGGGAATATTCTAGTTTGCTGGTAAACCCACTACATTGAAGGGCGCTATCGTAGGTGGGGGCTGCTCTAGCGAATTCCTTGGGGTTGCATGAAAGCGACGAAACCCTCTTGGATATAGTCGATGGTAGCTGCTTAAGTATGGGATGTGGATGGTTCGATTGAGAATTGATGTATGATGGCGGGTCATCTGGTTTCCTATATGGCACGTATTTGCCATTGGATAGATTTAGGGTGACGTCTAGAAAGTTGACCACGTATAGATTGGCTTGAGCCGTTATTCTTAATCCCAATTCTGCAAAAACCTCGCAGAAGCGCTTGCGGATTCTGTCTCCTGTTCTAGGGCGCGCGTTACGGATGGCGGCCAATCCGTCGTCTCGATATAGGCCAATGTCTATGTTGTTACTGCATTTTTCGTTGAGCTTGCTAAGTGCGAAAAGCCCGACCAACTCGCAGATTTCGGCGCCATCGAAACTGCCCATTGACACGTCGAATAAGCTGCGGTTGGATTTCTTAGCCCAAGGCTCATTCTTATCAAACAATAGGGATTTCCTTGAGTGCATAATTATTTCTATTTCATCGGCTGTAATAGATTCAAATTGGCTAGCAAACCGTAAAGCGTTGTGTAAAAGCTGCTCTGATATCGAGGGGTAAAACTCGACAATGTCAAAAGTTAAAAATGATAATGATTGTTTCTCCTCCAGGCTGTCAAACCAGTCTATGACCGCTTGTGTGTTTCTCCACTGTCTAAACTTTGTATAGGACCTAATTTTCTGGTTGACTCTTTCTAAAATCTGTTTACTTACGCGACCAAGATTGCTTTTCGCCGGGTTGATGAGCCTGCATGGTATCGAGTTTGGAAAACTGTCTTTGTGGTCCTTTACCGTGATGAATGCTTGTTGCTTTCCCATCGACTCTACT